CCCCCAAAAAAAAAGGGAGTGTTGTTTAATTGCACCCTCTCAACCATTTACAGTTTAAAGTAGGCCTTGTGGCCACTCTTTAACCATCGCTGTCAATATTGGCATGTTTTCATGATTTATTTAACTCACATTTTTAATGTGGACAGTGGATATTGTGTCTGAAAACACGTCGCTTATCACCCGCGCTGTCATTCAAATCATCATGAACGATGAACGCGTGGACTGGTCTGCGCTCCTGGCCTAGATTTAAAGTTGGTGAATTGGCAATCTTTGTTTTCCCAACATGTCAATGGCCAACTGGGCTGGGGAGAGGGGTGTTGAGGGGGGGGGGTAGGTAGTTTATCTACTTCAGACAGGATAACAAAAAATTATCGACCAACTCACTCTCTCACAATAACAAGCGCAGCTGTCGAGTGACTGATTCTTCTTCTCTGCTCTAACTCTAAGTTCGCGTGTCTTGGCTCCGACTGAGTCAGGGAAACCCCTTGTCTGGTCTAAAAATAACCCAGATACCAGGCACAACTTCCAGGTTTCCCCAGCGCTCTCTCAGCACGAGGAGACTGCATGAATAAAAAGGTCATTCGATCAACCAATCAAATTCAAGGCCAATGACCCGCTTTCTGCGGATTGGTTACTATACCAAGAGACCCATGTGTACGGGTTTAATAATAACAAGACATTAGTTCGACTTTGATGGTGAACGGACGTAGGCTTTATGGAATCGAGGAATAATGTTATCCATTTGATCGCCGGAGGGTAAGTATTTTGCCTTTAATATAGTAGTTTTATCAACTTATTTTGAATATTCTATATCTGACTTGCTTTTGGTCGATCCATGCATGTCCCAGACAGCATTATTGTACCCATGTAACAATGTTACACCAACCACCCTCCACGAAGTCGCAGTCGCAATAAGCATGTGGTGTGTTGTGTTGTGTTGTATTTGAAGTTTTACAAAAGCAAACACACATGGTATGATAAATACATTCTGTAAAGCATACGACATCACAGCTTGCACGCTGTTGGTCTTCCTACTGCATGCGTATTTCCTTTGAGTACAATAAGCGGGGAAACAAAAGTTATGGTGTCTGTCTGCCAACTTTGACCCTTCCCGCTTTACGAGTGTGCACCACACACCAGTAGATCTAACGATGATTTTGTTTAATTTCATTGTAGCCTGGGCACAGCACGTCAAAACCTTGTGCTAAGTTGGTCTGTCTATGGTGTTGTGCTAGTTTCTCTTTGCCTGTTCCTATCGCGCGTAAATGTTACCCAGTGCCATTTAGTTTGTTGGGATCTGTGTCCGAGATAGAGATCAATTTCATCAGACAGAGACTGGGAGACCAGTTTGCAGGCGGAGGTCATTTGCACACACTCATCTTTTTTCTCTTTGGTAGATCTAGATCTAGATCTGGGCCTAAATGATCGTTCTTAATGATGATTGATAACTAACATGTGGAATGTGGGTGGTTGGCAGGTGATCTGATGAACTGATGTTTGGTTTGCCTATTTTTAAAATTCTTTCCGTCAAGTCTGAAGTGTGTAATTTAAATGTCATAATTTCATTCTGTAACAAGTGTGTAATGTCTCAATTTCATTCTGTAACAAGTGTGTTACAATTTCATAATTTCATTCTGTAACAATTAATGTGTAATATGATAATTTCCCCCCCCCCCATGCGTTTGCACATATTCACGGTCACAGCCAGTTGTGTTACAGGATGATGGAATCAGGCGCTTGTCAAAGTACAAGGACTGAAATCAAAGAAACCAGCATTTTTCTTTTGGTTTTCCTATTAAAATTGAGAAGCACATTTTTTGTGTGGATTTTCTGAAAAACATTGATCAAAGGCATACAAAAATGTAAATTTGCAGTTTCCAAGGTCACTCAAACTTTGGAAGTCACCAAACTCTGGCGGCAATTATTTTCACTTATTTTACCCCTGACATCAGATAACCCCCTCCTCCTTCAGTGGCAAATATTTCCTATGTTGTTCAGGTGAATGGGTTTGTTTCTTTTCATCAGAAACAAGACAAGGTTTAGGATGATTAATACCAATACTGTATGCCCAAAAAATTGCGAGCTCCTGATTTCACCTTGCTGTGACAAAATTGATTCCTCTTCATGTTTGATGAAGTACCAGCCCCAATGTGACCCCCATGGTGACCCAAGAGTTGTCTGTATACTAGGTCAAGTCAGTTCTGAATGGAGGTCAAAGTTTATTGGCGTTGTGGTGGATTGCCTCCAAAAATCCCATATATATAACTGTCTGGAGTAGCAACAAAATCCAGCTCATAGGCACAATGATGTAACTGAAAGAATCGAGTTTTTTACATGTATTTTATTTGTTTGTGGTACTGTTCTGGCCCATCATATCCTTCTTTTGTCAAAGGCAGCGTTATGTATTTACATCGGAAATGTTTTAGTTCTCAAAGCAGTAAAACTAAGTAAATGACTTATTTCAATCCCATTATGGATGGCAGAGTGAAGAATAGATATTTCTACTCAGTATGTTTTGAAGCATTTATAACTTCAGACAAAACATGAACAGATTTTGCTTTTTTTTTTCTCAAAATCATGAAATGTACAGTTACATCCATCTACCTTTGACTTTGACTTTGGAAGGCAGCATTGTTCTATAAACAGGGAGCATGCATTTTTTTTTAAAAGCAAAGAATAACCACCTTCGATGTCTATACATTTATATTGATGATCACAACCAGCTGTTTCTTGTTCATGTAAGACAAGCATCAGCCCCAATGTGACCCCAGTGGTAGCCTGGAACTACATTTCATTTTAGGTAATGTCACTTCCGAATTGTGTGTGTGTGTGTGTGTGTGTGTGTGTGTGTGTGTGTGT